TCATTAAATATAATCATAATTATCATATAATGTACTATATATTATGTAATACATATTATGTATGTTAATACATATTATGTGTGTACATAAATATACATCTTTTATACTCATATATTCTAAAATATATCGAGATGGATTTAACACCATATGATGGCTATATAATTTTCACGCCTGTTAATTACACCAATATGATGTGGATTTAACACCATAATTTTAAATTAACACCAACACGGTGAGAATTATAGGTAGCAAGCTGACGCTTTTTGTCACTTTGACATCAGCTTACTACCTGAATACTTGATACCATATGGTGTAAAACCTGCACACCCATACTTTGTTTTAAAGTGTATTATATGACAATAATGTATGATATATTCGGTGCTTATTTTTGGAGGTGTGGGGGATAAAGAATTTATGAAAATAATTCCGGAAATTGTCTTAACTAAATGTCATTATTGGTTACATTTGGAAAAATGAATGTGTTCTGATTTTTTCTCACTTACACTCTTATTTTTACACGTTCTGACTCCTCACTTTTAAATTATTAAAATAGAGATTTTTCGAGCTTACCTGACAACGTACCCAAAATCCGTTTTGAGGGTTAACTCAACTAATTTTCATGTTTGTCTTTTTGTCGACAAGCTATCGAAAATCCAGAAGACAACAACGCAAATCTCTCTAGCACGATAACTTATAGTGATGTCTAACGCTAAAATTATAACTCGGAATTAATTAAATCGCGTTACAAAGTATTCCGATGTTCGCATGAATTGATGAGATAACTGACCGGGACGGTATCGTTCGACTTTTAGCGAGAGAGTTCTCGAATCCGCGCGCGCGAATGAACGACGACGAGCGAGGGTCGTCGCCGTTTGGCCGGGAAGACCGACCACCCCGATGTATATCCTTCTCTTTGATGCCACGTGCTAAAGTCGTTGAGTAAAGGGAGCGAGGAAACGGGTAAGTGCAACCACGTCGGCGCGTCGTGACGCCTCCATCGACGCGCGCAATCGGTGCTTCCGGGGTGCAAGATCGCGGTTTCGCCATTAAATCAACAGCTCTTTCGCAAATCATTTACCCATCATTTTGAGATGAAAATAATTTATGTAATCCAGCGAATTCGAGCTATAAAATAATTCCTCTTTTCAGAATGTTATACATTCTCTCTGTGCTTTCTTTTCTGACGTTGATGGCTGTTTTAAAATATCGAATTCATAAATACAATGGTTTGTTATCAATTAATATTGTACATTGATTTTACAAATAGTTTACTAACAGTGTATCGTGAATAACAAATTCTTCTTGATTGTTGCATTATTCGCTTATATATGGGGCATTCCACGCCAAGTGGGCCACTCGTTTTGCGAAGTTTCATTGATTTCGTTCATATTGCTTGAACTTGAACAGTTTGATGAATAAAGACTCTATGCCTAATAATATACCTGTAGGCCAACTGGTTGCCGAACTATAGAGCCGTCAATTTTTGGGCTTTCTCGTCGCAGCGCTCTTTTCGCTTGTCATTAGTGGGCATGAGAGGCAAGTTTGAAAATGAAATGTAGAAGTTACCTTATAGAAAATTGAACGCTCTTTCACGTAAGAATACTTTTTTTTCGATCAGACCGGTTTACGACGATGTTTGTCAGTTTTGAAGTTTTCCAAATGGCGGCGCGCCTAAAAGGCCAGTCTCAATTTTCTTTTAATATAGCTCAAAATGTAGCTCCAGGTCTCTACTTTGTTACTCTAAAAGGACTTAATGGGACACGCATTCGTTTGGGAGTAAGAGCTAGGAAAGTGAGGAAAATGAGTGGTGCGGCAGGGGGACGGAGCGACATTGCCTCACTTTCCTAGCTCTTACTCCTAAACGAATGCGTGTCCCATTAAGTCCTTTTAGAGTAACAAAGTAGAGACCTGGAGCTACATTTTGAGCTATATTAAAAGAAAATTGAGACTGGTCTTTTAGGCGCGCCGCCATTTTGAAAACTTCAAAACTGACAAACATCGTCGTAAACCGGTCTGATCGAAAAAAGAGTATTCTTAGGTGAAAGAGCGTTCAATTTTCTATAAGGTAACTTCTACATTTCATTTTCAAACTCACCTCTCATGCCCACTAATGACAAGCGAAAAGAGCGCTGCGACGAGAAAGCCCAAAAATTGGGTGGCATACTTGGCATGGAATGCCCCATATATTAATGCAATAATTTTTTGCGTCGATATTTATCGGTAATCCGCGTGTAAATTTGTGCAAACAGATATAATTTTATATTGTATTTGTCGCTGATGATGATCCGAAACTAAGGATCGAAACGTTCGACATAATATCTATGTTTTAGATTTTAAGATTATATATGTTTAGATTTTAAGATTATATATTTTGCGCACTGCTAACAGCGTTGACTCTTAATAGCCTTTATGTTTTTACTTAATTTTTGTAATTGTTTTGAAACATATAAGAGTCTATAATTCAATTATATTATTAATTTATTAAAATTTTTACGGATATAATTACTTGCCGATTGGTTGTATTTTCAAATGGGGTGTAAAGAGTTAATGGATCGGTTATTGGATTTCGTATCGATATGCATCAGGGAACATCGAAAGGGAATGACAGCGTGTAATCTGTTTCGACAGGTATAAGTAGGTACGTGAATCGAGTCGAGTGCGAAATCGATGCGCTGCAGAATCTAACAATATTAAAGACATTTCCTGATCGTAACGTTCCTTTCAGTTCTTTTAAGGGGTAACGCCACTCTAGAATTTGAAAAAAATACATGTTTTTGATAATTTTTTACGGAGAAACAATAAAGGAAATGGAAAATCTGTTTATAGGAGTTTATTATACATGTTCTGAAGCAAATAAAAAAATTTTTTAATTAATATTTTTAAACAAAATGGCGGCTACATAATACGAAACTCGAGACCACCTCTCGCTGAAAGGGCTTCACGGCCGGAAAAGTTTCTTCCACAATTTTCAATCCGGAACAAAAAACCAAAGTTTTTTGAAAACTATATATAATTGGCTACAGAAGTATATAGGGGATTTTGAAAATATTGAATTTTGAAAAAATAATGCTTATTTGAAGAAAAAATTCATTTTTTAATCAAAAATTTCATCGTAAATTGTTTATAACAAAAAAAGTTGACAAGATATCAAAAAACTCCTACGTACTTCTGTGTAAAATCTAATTACAAAGCTACTGTTAAAATTTGAATTGAATCGTTCAAAAATTGTTCGAGTTATGTTTCCGGCCAACTTGAAAAACATTGTTTCCAGAAAATCGCGTTTAAAGTTTTAAGTACTAAAATAGTATAAATTTTTTTTATATACCTCTAGTCGGCAATGCCTACACTATACATTTCACCTTCCAAATTCTCCTGCTCTGCGTCTTTTCTGACCGATTTTAACGATACCCTGGCCTCTTTTGCCTTCTGCCACGAGCACCACGAATCTTTTCTTATTAATCGAGCGAAGGCAGTTTCGGTTTCGAAATAAGTATTTAAAATTTTTATCGCACTACGGGACCAAGTGTACATTATTTTTAAGACTCTAAGGCATCATTCAAACAAAAAAAAACTTTTTTATTATTTTGAAAATTCTAGAGTGGCGTTACCCTTTAAATCCTTCCAGGATCAATTTTCTACAAGCTCGTTTCGGAAAATACCGATTTACCCTTCTTGTATGCTCAAAGTCGATGGTGAAATTCCAAGATTTATGTTATTCTTTTAGAAGTATGATTGAAGCAAAGCGTATAGTGTAATTTAAAATAATAGAAAATTCTCTAAAATATATGTCACCACGTAAAAAAAATCTGTGGTCAAATTTTTTTTCGAGTAGAATGTAAAAAGATTCTACTATTAAAGTAGCTAAAGTTAACTATTGAGTCCTATGATTAGTCTGTAAGCCCATGAATTGTAATGGAATGTTTATATTATACTGAAGCCACTGCGCAACATGGTATATATTCCCTCACTTATAAATATTCATAAGTGAAAATTGCGGGACAGACCAGGATAAAACGATAGCTTTTCATATTCGTTACATTTAGACAATTTATGAATGTTTCGAGGAGTATACGTGACATGACGAAACAAATTGAATTGCTTCATAAACAGATACAGGCTCTCGTCTCGCGAATCGATAATCATCAATGATGATATAATACAAGTGTGGATGGCACATATAGTCATCTCCCTCTTTCTTTTTCTAACACACGATCTTTTTTTTAGCAATAAATTAGAGACTTATTTTAACGAATTTTTTTGTATTATATGTTTTTAACAAACATTTTATTAATGAATAATAATTAATAAGGCTCTATATGTCTAAAACAATGTAAATATAAAAAGGGCAAAGAGCCAAGTAAATTAACAAACTATTTAATTCAAATAATCATACATAATACATATACAAACGTTTTGACTCCGATCGGGTCATTTTCAATGTAACAAAATTAAAAATTGTTTTACATTAAAATGACAATTGCAAATATTCTTCGTTAAATATAATAATTTCAATTCGCTAAAATTCAGTCAATGTTGGTGTCGTATGCATTAATCCTTGTCGAAAATAAAAGAAAAAAAAAGTCCATGAATAAAATAATCTCTTTGGTCAATATATTAAAACAGTATAATTAACAATTGAGAAAGACAATTTGCAGTTAAAAAAAACAAGTACTGATCATTATGAATACAAATAAAATAATATTATGCATACGACACCAACATTGACTGAATTTTATCGAATTGAAATTATTATATTAAACGAAAAATATTCGCAATTGTTATTTTAATGTAAAATAATTTTTAATTTTGTTACATTAAAAATGACCCGATCGGAGTCGAAACGTTTGTATTATGTATGATTATTTGAATTAAATATTATAGTTTGTTAATTTACTTGGCTCTTTGCCCTCTTTATATTTACATTATTTTATGAATGAATAATTAATCTTACAAAACATCTAGTTTTATATATAACACTAAACAAATTTTATTTATTTCAGAATAGCAACAACACAGAAGACTAGCAGAGTGAATTTTAAAAGAGCACCGATTAAGAAATTCAATAATGTCTTCATTAAATTTGTGCTACACGAGAAACATGATCCTCAATCGACTTACGATGAAACAAAGGCTGTTTTACGAGAAGAATGGCTATCTAGTATTTCCTCGCCTCATACCACAAGATGTGCTCGACAGATGCAATAAAAGGTATATCTAACTTGTAAAAAACAAGAGCATCACAATACATAAATAGAATGTCCGTCGCAATGCCATTTCTCTTTGAGTGTTTCGAGCGAATTACTGAATATCTAGTTTTGGTAATTATTTAGAATAGGGGAGGCAGCACCGATGACCTTGACCTTGACATATGTTATCAAGGTCATGACCCTGAGTAACTTTGCCTTAACAACTAGCCGTCGCTCGCCCTTCGTTAAAAAGATATTAACAAAAAAAGTTTCAAAAATAACGTCCTATTTCTGCTATATATATAGTATTAAATATATTCTACATAGGTTTTGACCTTCTACGCGAAGTAACTTTCACCCCCCCCCCCCCCC